ACCATGGTGTTTTTGTACAGACAGCACTTCAGACAGCAAGTATGCTGTAGTCGGCAATCATTCGTTTTGGTACAGAGTGGGACAGGTAGGGGGTGATGTTGCTGTAGTCGAACGGTGAGACGGACGTGTAGTTCAGTTTTGGGCACGCGTACGGTGCTGCAGGGATTATATATAGGTGTAGTAGTACCTCTTCGGGCTCTTGGATACCTTGTTCTTGCTACGTGTGCGTGTTCTTTAGATCCTCAGATGGCTCTAGCACTTTCGTGACCACGGGCTGAGAGTCTTTGCTAGATTTTGGCATTTAGCAACTGGCTTAATGTGAAGTCAACAACAACAACAACAACGGTAACTTCAACCGACCGACTTTTTATCCGTCCAAGCTTGTCAACAAGATTGCTTCCTCTTGAGAACGAAATTGACTATGACGAACAGCAGTGACGTCACCATCAATCTCGAGTGGTTGTTCTCTCTCCGAGTCTCCGACATGCATATTGTTCTGAACCATGCTGTGGGGATTGTGTGACGATGGTAAGATGTCGAACAGATGCCCAAAATCTCGAGAACGTGGCGCGTGGAGCGTCTCTTGCATGGTCATGTCATGTAACCTATCGATACAGCAGACTTCTGATCTTGTGATACACAGGGCGGGTGGAACACCCCACAAGTTCTCTTTTACAGCAGTGTACTCTTACAATTGACTCACGAATCCTCTTTTCAAAGCTTACGCCGTCGACAAACGCCCCACATCTCCCCCGTCTCCCGTGTGCACAGCAACTCAATCCCTTTGAATTCGGACAGAGCCTCTGCTGGTGCGTAGCCACGTTCTTGGTATATTCGGTGTGGTCGATCTTACACACACACTGCAGCACTGACGAACGCGGAGCTCGTGCCTTCGTTGCGTATGTTGACAAAGAACGGGGATCGTGACACTTCTTCTATTTTTTCCTCTTTGGTGATGACACGGGAAGACGGAAGAAACTGGCTTCTTGCCGAAGGCCAGCCACGGACAAACAACCCGCCACGAGAAGATTGTTGTTGGAGCGAGTCGGGGACAGAGAGCTTTGGGAGAGGACACCAACGAGAGCCAGAAGAACGGGAAGGCGGCGAGAACGACGGCACCCCATCTACCCAGGGAGGAAGGTCACACCCGGAGGTAAGTTTTTTGCTGGGGAGAGGTTGGCGGCTCGGGTGTCATATGTGAACGCGTCGCCGAGGGTTCATCCGGCTTCCGAGACCAAATTTTCGTCGCCATGCACGACACATCACATCATGCGTTGGAGGTATACGCACGTGCCACCGCAGTTGGTGGAGAGTGCAGACAACGGGTAGAGCAAAAGCAGACCATAAGAAGCAGCGCGGCTAGGCGTTGGGCACCGGCGGAAGGAGCACGCCTGATCGCGTTGTAGGGAGTTATACTCTTTTTTGTTTCGCTAGCCACCTCCTCCACTCTGCGGTCCGACACACGACCCATTTTTTTTTACCCGATCCACACTGTAGCACACCAGTGTGCGTGTTACGAATCAACGTCGCAACCCGCACGCCACAGACCGTTTGAGACCAGGTAGAGATACGCTAACTGGTTAGTCACTTTCTTGAACTTTGCTAAGGAGGAAGACGGGAAAGAAGGAGCTAGAAGGGTTCCATCTCCTTGGGTGGTGGTCTGCAGTGTGTCTTGCTTCCTGTCTGGCATGTTCCCTCGCTCATCAACGTATCTCTTAAGTTTTTTGCCCTCACTGCGCAGAGAGAATATTAGGCATTCGATGACTGTGCTCATGGACTGGTTAACGCAATTGTGCGTGTGGGAGGATAGCACACGCGTTCGTCAGTCGCGATGCGAGAAAGGAAGCATCCCCGTCATAAAAGGAAAACTATCAAATGGTTTATCCGCGCCACACCGAGAAGCAGCAGCGGCAGTCTGCGGTTGCTTGCGGACGTTGAATTGGACCGCGCCGCATCTTTGGCCACCCAACATAACCCCCCTCCCTCAGCTAGCGCTCGGGTGCGCAGCTTGTGCAGCCCCACGCGCCGCACAGCTTGTCCTGTCCTAGGTTTACCTCATACGTGCGCCCCCACCAATCTATCCACCCGTACCTTTGCTTCTCCCTCTGTCTTGTCGCAAAGAGATTTTTCGCTGTGACGTTTACTGCGGCAGGATGTTCTCGTGCCGATTGATGAAAGTGAACGGTGTTCTTCTGCCCGAGGTCCTGGGGGCATTGGGGGGAGAGGGGCAGCTGGTCGCATGGAAGGTGCACCTTAGGCACGGCTCTCAGGAGCATCGTGCGCAGTTCACCGCCCTTCCCTCGAGCAAGAACAACAGTACGACGCCAAGTTTGTCGGTGAGAAGGCATACATACATAATCTCACAGAAAGCTCAGGAAATAGTCTGCTCCAACACCGAGGGTGGGGGGGGGGTTGCACCCTGTGGGTAGATTACAAGTAGGGCAAAGCTCAGCAAAAAACCGACAGGGCGAACGCATGTGTGGGTAGCTTCCCCGCCTGCTGCTTACTGCCCGCCACCCGCCGATGGTTGACTATACGCTGGGCGCAACCGCTCTATCCGCTACCACTACCGCCGTACCACAACAGCAGTCATGAAGAAACTTAAAGTTTCGTCAAATTGATACCGGTACAACAACCTACGGCAATGCCGGTTTCCCTCCATGTAGTTGGGGCCTCCAAGAAGTAAATCGATTGGTTGTACGTAACACGTTGAATCTCATGTACGTTCCTCACACGGGATATGTGTCACACACCGTGGCCGACCCAACCCTAGTCTAACCCTAACCCACGACCAACGCACGGCCTGGCCGCGCCGCGAACTGGGTGAGAACGCGGCTGGCTGCGCCGCGTTCTCGGAATGAATGCGGCGAGAGGGCGCGGGAGAGGAATCGACAGTTAGAACCAACGCCAAACCACGACCGACAAATCAGAGTCCTCACCTACACGGGTGGCCAACACACCGGGTTGTAGGGGCACTTTTGCCAGCCTCCATCTTCAATTATTTTGGCACGAGTTGCAACCTCCCCACCTTGGGTAACCCTTGCAATGCAACGATGGCCAGGTTTGTGCAACGTATACCTTTCTTGGAGGTTGCGCGTTGGTGACAAGCCGGATAGGGGGCAGGTTGCCGATGGCAGTGCAAGGTGTACCCTTTCTTGGTGGTTGGTGCGCTGCTATCAAGCCGAATAGGGGTCAAGCTGTCGATGGCGGTGTAAGGTGTACCATTTCTTGTGATTGGTGCACTGCTTACAAGTTGGACAGCGGGCAGGCTGCCGATGGCAGCGCAGGGTGTACCCTTTCTTGGAGGTTGGCGCGCCATGCACAAGTCGGTTAGGGGGAAGTTGCCTATGGTATGACAAGGTGTACCCTTTTTTGCAGGTTGGCGCGCTTCGCACAAGCCGGTTGGGGGGCAGGTTGCCGGTAGTAGTGTAGGGTGTACCTTGCAGGTTGACGCGTGACGCACAAGCCGGAAAGGGGACAAGTTGCCGATGGTATTGTATTGCAATGCGTACCCTCTCTTAGAGGTTGGGCACGATGCGGCCGGTCCACAACAAACAGCAGTGCTCCACAACAAACAGCAGTGCTCCACAACAAACAGCAGTGCTCCACAACAAACAGCAGTGCTCCACAACAAACAGCAGTGCTCCACAACAAACAGCAGTGCTCCACAACAAACAGCAGTGCTCCACAACAAACAGCAGTGCTCCACAACAAACAGCAGTGCTCCACAACAAACAGCAGTGCTCCACAACAAACAGCAGTGCTCCACAACAAACAGCAGTGCTCCACAACAAACAGCAGTGCTCCACAACAAACAGCAGTGCTCCACAACAAACAGCAGTGCTCCACAACAAACAGCAGTGCTCCACAACAAACAGCAGTGCTCCACAACAAACAGCAGTGCTCCACAACAAACAGCAGTGCTCCACAACAAACAGCAGTGCTCCACAACAAACAGCAGTGCTCCACAACAAACAGCAGTGCTCCACAACAAACAGCAGTGCTCCACAACAAACAGCAGTGCTCCACAACAAACAGCAGTGCTCCACAACAAACAGCAGTGCTCCACAACAAACAGCAGTGCTCCACAACAAACAGCAGTGCTCCACAACAAACAGCAGTGCTCCACAACAAACAGCAGTGCTCCACAACAAACAGCAGTGCTCCACAACAAACAGCAGTGCTCAACTCTACAATTTTCCTGCACTACGATTTTTTTTGTTCATGTTTCCTTTGTTTTTTCGCCCCCTGTATTCGAATCACTACAATTTTACCGTCGGAACATTCCCGAGCAATCCCCTGAAACAACGACATCCCGTGCCCATGCATCATACGCATATTACCAGTAGCTCTAGCGTAAACCCATCTCCGCCCGCGGCTTATCATGTCGACCCGGGGTCGTCCACATCCCAAGTTGCACGAATACATGTAAGCGAGAATTAAAGGTACTTCAAAGTGAAACAATACCTACCGCCCACGACCGTCAGCGACGTCGATCATGGAGACGACCCACACCCCCCCAACAAACTACCATTGTTTGTTGTGAGGAAACACAACTCAGCCGGAGACAACAGCTACACGTAGCGGCAGCAGTGTTGTCCAAACGCACAGGTAGAAACGACCATCTCTCCCCACACCAACAT